GGTTTGCGTCTGGGACCTGGAGGCTTAAAACTCACGCTGGGCACGTGTGCGTGCGTGCCCAAGATCCCGAGAGGAGAACGGAGAAGAAGGGATTGCAGCAAGGCCATCCCCCCGGGGGGTGATTTCTCGCTTTCTGTCTCTCTGTCTGTCTCTGGCGAGTGCACACGCCCTATAGCAAAAACCTTTCCAAAAAAAAAAAAAATTTATTTCGAAGTAAAAATTTTAAAAAGGGGGGCCCAGCAGGTGGCATGGTGGTTAAGGTGCTGGACACTCCCACATGGCTGACCATGGTTCGAGTCCTGGACCTGGCGGCTTCCTTTGTTCCTTTCCCTCTCTTTTTCTCTGTGTGTGTCTCTCTTTGGTCAAATTAAAATAAATGAATGAATAAATAAAATTAAATAAATAATAATTTTTAAAAATTTTTTTTTTAAAGGAAAAACTCAGTAGTAAACAGAAGTGGATTCCCCCTGCCCCCATACATAAATACACTTTGTGAACGAAGATTCAAGGCCAGTCTCATAGCATAGTGGTAAGAGAGCCAGATCTTACATGGCCAACTGTGGTTCAGATCTAGCCCTAGTGACTTGAGAAACACACCTGACATGCAACTCAGAAAGCAGATATTCAAAAAATAATCTTTTTACTATTGTATATTATAGTATTGTCTGAATTTGAACTTATCCTTTTCTTCTTCTCTCTATATACTAGCCTGAAGAAATCTGGAGCAAAGGAGGAAAAAAACTATAGGATCTTACAAATCTAGATGGGCTCTGTGTAGGAACTCCATTGAGAAAATACCTGATGTGTAACAATTTAATGTGGTTGGATATTTTTTACATTGATTTTATTATATATAATTTACATATAGTAAATATTCAACTTTAAGTATATAATTTGCTGAGATTATACAAATTATACACCTATACAACTATCAACCCAACATATAGAATATTATAGTAGTGGGTCCAACAGGTCACATGGTGTAAAGCACTGGATTTCCACACTGCCAACCACCATTCAAGTCCCAGACTCAGTGACTTGAAAATCATGCCAACTACATGTGTATGCATGCCCAAAATCTTGTTGGGAGAAGGGACTATAGCGTGGCCAACCCCCCGACACCCACGGCGTATTTTCTCATTTTGCCTTTCTCTGGCCAGCACACACACACACACCTATGGCAAAAACCTGAAAGAAAACAAAAAAGAATGGTGTGGGAGTTATGGTGGGATGGCGTTAAGGAGACGGATAGTGGAAGGAAGGATACTTCTTTGAGTATGCATCTTTGGACAATAAATACTTTCTGTATTTAAAAACTAAAATTATTTCAATATGGGTGTTATAGCGAGGGTCCCTGAAATGAAATGCAGAAAGCAGCAATGAACTCCAACTATATTTTGGACATAACCATAACCATGTTTGAGAGAAGATAGAGCTAATCTGAGTAACTTTTTATTTTGTTAATATTTAATTTTATTTATTCATTCATTTATTTCATTTGACCAGAGATAGACGCACAGAGAGAGAGAGAGAGAGAGGAAGAGAGAGAGATAAAATGAGAAAGCAAGCCGCCAGGTCTGGGACTCAAACCATGGTCAGCCATGTGGGAATGTCCAGCACCTTAATCACCATGCTACCCGCTGGTCCCTCTGAGTAACTTTTGTACACAATATTTTAATTATAAACCCTCACTCTGGTTAGGAAGAAGGAAACTGTGGGTGATCCTGAGTTCTTTATTTTTTGAGAGGTTTTTGCTATAGGGCACGTGGCGCTCACCAGAAAGAGACAGAAAGCGAGAAATCACCTCCCAGAGGGGATGGCCATACCACAATCCCTTCTCCTCTATTCTCCTCTTGGGATCTTGGGCATACATGCACACGTTCCCGGCGTGAGTTTAACCGGGTCTGGGACTCGAACCGCGGTTGACTATATGGGAGTCCAGTGACATAGGCATTACACCAGCTGCTGGTCCCCAGCTCTTGAATTCTTAATAGACAAATTATTTCATATTAGTGTGGTTGTGATAGTTCTAAAACTGTGTTAAAGGATGGAAGTCAGAATTTCTAACTATGAAATAGTAGACATAAAAATAGAGAAATAAGAAATCAGGGAAGTTAAGGATGAGGCTAGAGAGTGGATAGGAATTAGAGGTAATATGAACTAATTATATCATATACATATGAATGAAATATGCTTCCTAGCTCTACCTGCTGCAAGATTCTGGTTGCAGTGACACACAAGTAACAATGAGTACACTTAGCACCCAGGTCTTGAGTTTCTTCTCACTAAAAAGCACAGGGACTCCTTGGAGGAATGACTCATTTTATTATTAGGGCAGGGACTGTAAAAGATAAGCCAATAATAACTTGTACCAGAAAGCATTCTTAAAAATTTTATTTTTTTGCTAGAGGAACACATGTACTTGCCAGAGAGAGACAGACAGAAAGGACAGGGGTAGTGAGAAGGTAACCCCATGTGTGTGATCATGCTGCAATCCCTTATTTTTTCTTTCTTCCTCCCTTCAGGATTTTGGGCATGCACATGCCTGACATGTTTTTCTAGCTGTTGTGTTTGGGACTTGAACCACATAGTTGGCCATGTGGGATCCAGCCATCCTAGCCACTATGTCATGGGATGGCCCTATAGAAAGCACTTTTTCAGAATGCATTTTTTAAAAAAGTGAGGTGGGGGGACCAGCAGTTAGCGTGTAATGGCTGTTGCTGGACTCCCAAGTAGTTGACCACAGTTCGAGTCCCGGACCTGGTGGCTTAAACTCACGCCAGGCACGTGTGCATGCGTGCCCAAGATCCTGAGAGGAGAATGGAGGAGAAGGGATTGCGGTGTGGCCATCCCCCGTGGGGGGGCAATTTCTCACTTTCTGTCTCTCTCTCTCTCTCTTTCTGGTGAGCGCACATGTCCTATAGCAAGAACCTCTCAAAAAAACAAACAAACTGTATCTTAAAAAAAAAAAAAAAAAAAAAAAAAGGAGATGGGGCAGCAGGTAGTATAGTATTAAGGTGTTGGGCTCCCATATGGCTGACTATGGTTCAAGTCCAAGACCCAGCAGCTTGAAACTCACGCTGGGCACATGTGCATGCGTGCCTAAAATCCCAAGAAGAGAATGTAATAGGCAGAATTGCAGCATGGCTATCACCCCCCACCCCCACCCCCGGAGGTGATTTTTTTTCACTTTCTGTCTCTTTTTTTCTCTGATGGGTGCACATTCCCTATAGCAAATATCTCTAAAAAAAATAAAAATAAAAAATGAGGAGGTGTCGAAATTATACCGGAGGGGGCCAGATGGTGGTGTAGCAGTAAAATGCAGTGCTCTGAGACTGACCTACATGAATGGGTGCTGCATTTGCAACTGGAAACCTCCCTCAGAATATCAGGCACATGTATCTGCCTGTAATCCAGGGAAAACTGAGGGGTGGATCATGGTGTCAAGACCCTGTTAGGTGCTGTCTTTCTGTCACTGTTTCTTTTGCTCATGGAAGACATAAACTAATAAAAGGAAAAAAGAGACACTGCAGTCAGATTGAAGATGCTCAGTTTGCCCACATCTGGGATAATTTGTACATCAATATAAATATAACAACTGGCAGATGGTAGTGCAGTAGTAACACTAGACTTACATGAGAAGGTCTCTAGTTCACATCCCGTGGCCTCCTGTTCATGCTGGATGCTTGCACAAGTGCCTGTGACCCAGGGAGTTGATCATGACATGGGGACCATGTTAGGGCTGCTTGTCTGTCCGTTTGTGTGTGTGTGTCTCATGGAATAAATAAATGTTAATGGATTATAATGAACTGAATAAAATAGGAATTCATAACTTTGATAATAGAAGAGGCAGGGAGGTTGGATGAAAAGAGAGGGCACTTCCTTACAATAGAATGTGGACTGATAAGCATGGAGGTAGTGGTAGAGTTAGGAAAATCAGCATTATTGGGTTGTTGGAAAAGTCATGATGTATTTTTCTATGTTTTCCTATGCAGGAATGTTTCATTACTTTCCAACTGCCCAATCAAATCTATATTTAGATTTTCCCAATAATATCCTTCTTTTGTTCTAGGTTTCAATCCAGTACACTGCATTGTATCAATAAACCCATTTTATTTATTCATTTATTTATATTATGTTGTTTAACTTTATTTATTTTTCTTTTTTAAGTGAGAGAGAGAAAGAAAGTGAGAAAGCAAGCCACTGAATCAGGGACTCGAACTGTGGTCGGCCCTGAGGGAGTCCAGTGCACTTAACCACCATGCCACCTGCCAGCCCCAATAAACCCACTTTAAATGAGACCCTATCTTAAGCTAATTAAATTATCAATATATCTGTTTAATGCAAAAGAATGAAATTAGACCACTACCTCATATCATATATAATAACTAACTCAAATTGGATCAAAGACCTAAGTGCTATAGTTTTAAAACAATAAAACTCAGAAGAAAACATAAAGGTAAATATGTATGACTTCAGTTTTGGCAAAGGCTTTTAAGAAAAGCACAATACCATGAGCAACAAAAGAAAATAAATAAATTGGCCTCATCAAGATTAAAAACTTCTGTGCTTCATACTGGTAAAAATAAAAATCACAAGAGAAAATGGTTTTAATCATGTTCTTTAAAAACAGTTTTGTGAGAGAACCAGCAGTTAGCGTAATGGCTATGTCGCCGGACTCCCATGTAGTCGACAGTGGTTCGTGTCCCGGACCCGGTGGCTTAAAACTCACGCCGGGTGCGTGTGCATGCGTGCCCAAGATCCTGAGAGGAGAATGGAGGAGAAGGGATTGCGGTGTGACCATCCCCCCTGGGGGGTGATTTCTCGCTTTCTGTCTCTCTGTCTCTCTCTGTCTGTCTGGCGAGCGCACGCGCCCTATAGCAAAAACCTCTAAAAAAAAAAAAAACAGTTTTGTGTCTTTTTTAACATGATAGTTTACTAGTGCTTTTATTCTCGGATTCATTCTGTTAATTTTTACAGTACTACTTCTTCTTTTTAAGGCACGAGATGTACGTACCAATGAAGTTGTGGCCATCAAGAAAATGTCTTATAGTGGAAAGCAGTCTACTGAGGTAGGTTAAATATGTATTTTTTTATTGGTGTATTAGGCAAAGACATACTATTTTTCAATTATTTATTTATTATTACTTATTTATTTTTTTAACATTTATTTATTTATTTATTTATTATGATTTTCAAGCTGCTTGCTACTGATCTTGAACATGGTCAGCCATGTGAAAATCCACCACCCTAACCACCATGTCACCTACTGTTCCCTATTTATTATTATTATTATCATTATTTTAATTTGCTACTGGGCATGTGCACTCACCAGGGAGAGACAGAAACAGAATGTGAGAAAGCAAGTTGCCTGGTCTGGGACTCAATCTGTGGTTGGCTATGTGGGAGTCCAGTCGAATCACCATGCTTCCTGCTATCCCCTATATCAGATTTTTTTAAAGAATTATTTTATGTAACCTCGTTTATTATTTATTTTCATTTGACCAGAGAGGGACAGAGCAAAAGAGGGGGACGAGGGGAAAGTGAGAAAGTGATCCGTCAGGTTTGGGACTGTGTGGTTGACCATGTTGGAGTCCAGCACTCTCAACCACCACACCACCTGCCAGCCCCTATATTAGATCTTTTTAAATGGTTTACAAATTGTTAGTGACTGTTTTAAATAAACTTTAATCAATACGCAGTATGTATCTTGTCTGAGGTTTTATGTAACAATCAGGAAAAAAAAATAAAATTTTTTTTTGAGTTTTTACTATATGCACTCACCAAGAAGACAGAGACAGAAAGAGAGACAGAAAGCGAGAAATCACCCCCCAGGGGGATGGCCACACGGCAATCCCTCCTCCTCCATTTTCTTTTCAGGATCTTGGGCATGCACACACATGCACCCGGCATGAATTTAAGCCACCGGGTCCGGGACTCAAACTGTGGTCGACTACATGGGAGTCCAGCGACATAGCCATTAAGGCAACTGCTGGTCCCCAAAAAAGAAAAAAAGATTTATTTAAACTTTTAATTTATTATTATTAGTTTAAATTTTGCTTTAAGGCACACTCCCTCTCCATAGAGAGACAGAGAGAATAGGAAAGTTGAAAAGTAATCTGCCAGATCCAGGACTGAAACCATGGTTGGCCATGTGTGAGCCCAGAGCCTTAACCATCATACCGCCTCCTGGCCCCCAAAAGAAATTATTGCTACTACATTGCATTTACTTTAGTTTATCAGTATTCTAATTAGTTCTTTTCAGAGTTTATTGTTCTTAGTTATATAAATTTATTTATAAAATGTAGTCTTTTGAAATCTAGGATTCTGCTAGTCATTAATTTTTTAAAAAACTTTTTCATCATTTACCATCTTTTGTTTTATGTTTTGTAATTTTGCTATCAAGCACATGTACTCGCTGGAGAGTTAAAAAGAAAAAGGGAGAAAAGTGTGGAAGCATCCTTCACTCCAGAGAGGATGGCCACACAATAAACCTTTCTCCTCCATTCTCATCTTGGGATTTTGGGCAGACATGCACACACACCCAGCGAGCTTTTTTGACTGCCAACATGGGAACTGGTACCACAGCTACCCATGTGGGATCTAGCACCTTAACCACTGTCTCACATCAGGCCCATAATTACCATCTTTTTTTTAAAATTTCATTTCATTTCATTATTTATTATCAGCATTATTATTTGTTTCTAATTTGACCAGAGAGAGTCGGGAAAATGAAGAAGCAAACTACCAGGGCCAGGACTTGAACCATGGTTTGCCATATCAGAGTCCAGCGCCTTTAATCACCATGCCACCTGCTGGCCCTGTAATTACCATCTTAACCATTTTTACTATATAGTTCAGTGGCATTAAGTATATTGTGTTTTTCTTTTTTTGGAGAGATTTTTGCCTTAGGGAGTGTGTGCTCACTGGAGAGACAGAAAGAGACAGACAGAAGGTAAGAAATCACCTCCCAGGGCCACACCACAGTCCCTTCTTCATTCTTCTCTCAGGAATTTGGGTATGCACATATGTGTGCCTGGTGTGAGTTTTCAGCTGCTAGGTCCAGGGCTTGAACTGTGGTCGACAGTGTGGGAATCAAGCGACGTAACCATTATGCCATCAGCTGTTCCCAGTGCATTTTTATGCAACCATTCATCACCACTATTAATCTCCAGAATTTTTTTAAAAGTTTATTTAATTTATTCTTTCTATGAGAGAGAGAAAGGGAAGTAGAAAGGTATCTGAGGCAGGTACCATTATCTGTGTCCAGCCTCAAATAGCTCAGATCACAGGCACACATGTGCATTCAGTGTATATACAGGACTTGAACCTGGGACCTTCCCATATGAGTCCAGCATTGCAGAATATTGTATTACCACTGTGCTACTGCAGCTGACTCTGCAGAGTTTTTTTTTAATCTCACAAAAGTGAAACTCTGTACCTATTAAACAATAGTTTCCAAGCATCTCTCCTCCAACCCCTAGCAACTACCATTTTATTGATACTTTCTATCTATGAATTTCCTACTTTATAGGTACTTCATAAAAGTCATTCAGTATTTGTTCTTCGGTGACTAGCTTATTTCACATAACATAATGTTCCCAAAGTTTATCCATGTTGTGGCATGTGCCAGAATTTCTGTTTTTGAGGCTGAACGTGTTCCATTGTGTATATGTATGTTTATATGTTTATGTATATGTATATATATCTATATATTTCTATCATATACACCCATATTTATATTTACAACATTAACCAGTGACTATTTGGGTTGTTTCCACCCCTTGGCTATTATAAATAATGTTGCTGTAATCATCAGTATACAAAAATTTCTTCTAGTCTCTGCTTTTGATTCTTTAGGCTATATACCCAAAAGTGGAATTTTGCTGGATCAATTTTAAAGATTTTGATTTTCTACTTTTTTTTTTTTTTTTTTTTTTTAAAAATTTTTTTTTTGGGAGCACTTTTTACGGTGACTGTGGACTCTCATGTAGTCACCTGCGGTTTGAATCCCGGACCTGGTGGCTTAAACTCACACCTGGTGCATGTGCATGTGTGCCCAAGATCTCGAGAGGAGAATGGAGGAGAAAGAATTTCAGCATGCCCATCCCCCATGAGGGGTGATTTCTTGCTTTCTGTGTCTGTGTCTCTGTCTTTCTGGTGAGCGCACACGCCCTGTAGCAAAAACCTCTCCAAAATAAAAAGAATGATTTTATTTAACTCTATTTATTTATTTATTTTCATTTGACCAGAGAGAGAGAGAGAGAGCGAGCAAGCTGCCAGGTCCCGGACTTGAACTGTAGTGGGCCATGTGGGAGTCCAGTGCCCTTACTACCACACCACCTGTTGGCCCCTGATTTTCTGCTTTTGTTTTTTTTAATTTTATGGTAAATCTTTTTATTGTGGTGATTACACTATGAATATGATAACATATATATTATTATATCACTGTTCCATTATTTTGATATCTAAAAATCTCCTAACATTTCTATCAAGTTTACTCTGATTTTATTTGCTGTTCTGTAAGGCAGTTTAGGAACAGGTTTCACATACAGTTATTCTTTGGTGGAGTTTGACTAGTCACTTCTAGAAAAAAATAATTCCAGGGCCAACTGATAACATGGTTGTTAAGGCAGCTAGATCCCACCTATATGGATGACCCCATAGTTCTAGTCCTGAACCCAACTCCTTGAAAAACACTTGTGCGTGCATGCCCAAAAATCCTAAAAGAAAGGAAAAAGGGAACACAAGGGATTATGGATTCTTTATCTCTTTTTCTGTCTCTGTCCAGTGATGACATATGCCCCTTGGTAAATTATATACACACACATCCCCTCCCCCCCCCCAAAAAAAAGAGAAAGACACACAAAGACAGGAAAAAAAATCCATTTATGGTGTCATCTGTTTTTTTTATTTAAATTTTTTTATTTCTCTATTTTATGAGAGAGACCGACAAATAGACACAGGCATCTATGAGAAAATCAAGTTACAATCTTCCCCCAGCCTTCCTAGCTAGTCAATATCTCAGGTGTCTGGTGTATACAGATGGACCCAGGAACAAACCCTGATCTTGCATTTGACTTCCAGAATTACAGAGTAGCATTGTTATTGCTGCTTCCCTGCAGTTGGGCCATGTGGCATCATCTTTTCCCATCCTGTATTGGTTTCCTTCATGAAAATATTTTAAGATCGAACAGTATACTTTTTCTTGTCTCCCAGCGTTTTTAAATTTAAAATTTAAAGCCCATAAAACAGATTTTCTGAGTTTAGCAGTTTATAATATTAATATATCTTATGCATTTTGTGTAGAACATTATAAATATATTCTGTATTTTGTTCAGTGCTTATAAAAGAACATATATTTTTTCAGAATTATTTGATTTTATTATTATTGTTTTAATTTGCTATAGGGCACATGAACTAACCAGAGAGAGGGAAAGTAAGAAAGCAAGGCATTAGGTCCAGACTTAAACTGTGGTCTCCTATGTGGGAGTCTAGTGCTTTAACCACTATGCCACCTGCTGGCCTCCTAGGTATATGATCTTAAATCAAGTGCAAAATAGTTTTTAAATTTTCTATTACAGTACTTTTCCTACTCCTAGGAATATATCTTAAAGGACTAGCCAATGACCTGGTGGTTAAGGGACTAGCCTCATGGCTGACTGAGCATTTCAAGTCCCAGACCTGGTAGGACCTGGTAGCCTGAGAAACATGCTGGGCATGTATGCATTTGTGCCCAAAATCCCAGAATGAGGGAGAAATAGAGGAAAAAAGATTGTGGTGTGACCATTCCTGTGTCAGGTATTTTCTTGCTTTCCCTTTGTCTATGTCTTTCTCTGGTGTGTGCACACACCCTCTGGCAAAAAAAATATCCAAACAAAACAGAATGCAGCTGCCTATGTTAGTGGTAAAACTTGAAAACACTAAAACAAGAATAAGAAAATAGATTCCCAGTTTCCTTTTCATACCTTGTAATCCTCTAGAATTTCTGGGACTAAGTACAAGACTAACCCATATTTTACTGTTTGTTTTTTTTTCTTTTATCTTTCTGTGTGTGTGTGTGTGTGTGTGCGTGTGTGTTTGTGTGTAAGGGAGAAATTTTTGTTGTAGGGCGTGTGTAGACACCAGAGAGACAAAGAGATAGAAAGTGAGAAATCACCTCCCAGGCCGATGGCTACACTGTAATCTCTTCTTGTCCATTCTCCTCTCAGGATTTTGGGCATGCATACACATACACGGGCCTGGCATGAGTTTCTTTTTTCTTTTCTTTTTAGAGAGATTTTTCCTATGGGTGCATACACTCGCCAGAGAGAGAGACAGAAAGACAAAAAAGCAAGAAATCACCCCCCCAGAAGGGATGGCAACACCGCAGTCTCCCTTCTCCATTCTCCTTCCGGGATTTTGGGCACACAAACGTGCATGCCCAGCATGTTTTAAGCCACTGGATCCAGGACTGAAACAGCAGTCAACTACATGGGAGTCCATTAATAAAACCATTATGCCATCTGCCGGTCCCAACCGGCGTGAGTTTTAAGCTGCCAGGTCTGGGACTCAAATTATGGTCTACTACTTTGGAGTCCAAAAATGTAACCATCATACCATCCACTGGTCACCCATGTTTCTTTTCTTTCTTTCTTTTTTTTTTTTAAATAATTATTTATTTCAAGTTTTTAATTTTTTATATTTTTAAATTTGGCCAGAGAGAGAAAGGGAAAGTGAAAAAGCTAGCTGCCAGGTTCAGTACTTGAACCTCAATCGACCCTATGGGAGTCCAGCACCTTTACCACCACCTGCTGGCCCATTCCCTGTTTGTTTCTTAAGAGCAGCTATCAGGACCAGCAGCAGATGGTATAATGGTTATATCACTGTACTGTCACATAGTCGACCACAGTTTGATTCCTGATCTCAGTGCCTTAAAACTCACACTGGGTGTGTGTGTGTTCATGTGTACCCAAAATCTCAAGAATCTGAAGAGGAGACCGGAGAAGAGATTGTGGTGTGGCCATACCCTCAAGGGATGATTTCTTGCCTTCTGTCTCTCCAGAGAGCGCATGTGCCATATAGCAAAAATATCTTAAAAAAACAAAACAAAACAAAACAAAACAAAAAGAGTAGCTGTCTTTTGAGGGCCTGCTCCATAACATAGTGGATAGGTGCTATGCACAGAAGACGGACTCCCACATGGCCCAGCACAGATTGAGTTCTAACCCCAGCAGTTTGAAAGAATCCTGATGGGAAGGAGGAATAGTGGAGAAGGGATTGTGGTGTCATTGTGCCCCACTGGGGAAATTCGCTCCCTTTTTCTGCCAAGTGCACATGCCTTCTGCAATTAGAAAAAAATTACATAAAACAAAGAGTAACTATTTTTAGGAAATGGCCTAAATGTTTTAAGTTGTCATGGAATGAAATGTCATGAAGACCGAAAATTTATCTGGTAGATAGTAGTAAGAAAGGCTCTTAGTAATATATGTAGGGAAGGTTTTCATACTCTTTATTTTTTCTGTGAACATTCCTCTTTGATAACTGTTCATTGACATTTTGTTTTTATTTTTCATTTTAAAAGAATTACTTATTCGGGGCTGGCAGGTGGTGTGGTGGTTAAAGGCACTGAATTCCCACATGGCCAGCCATGGTCTGAGTCCCAAACCTGGCAGCTTGCTTTCTTGCTTTCCCTTCTCTCTCCCTCTGCTTGTCTGGTCAAATTGAAAAATAATAACATAAATTTTTAAAATTTATTTATTTATTTCTCTTTACTTATTTATTCTTTTTTTCCCTTTTTTTCAGAGAGGTTTTTGTTATAGTGCTTGTGTGCTCGCAAGAAAGACAGAGATAGACAGAAAACGAGAATTCACTCACCAGAGGAGATGGCCATGCCACAATCCCTTCTCCATTCTCCTCTTGAGATCTTGGGCATGTACACACATGCGCCCAGCGTAAGTTTAAGCTACTGGGTCCGGTACTTGAACCACGGTCAACTACATGGGAGTCCAGTGACATAGCCATTACAACAACTGCTGGTCCCTCATTCATTTATTTTAATTTGACCAGAGAGAGAGAGAAAGTGAGAAAGCAAGCCATCAGGTCTGGGACTCAAACCGTGATCAGCTATGTGGGAGTGTCCAGCGCCTTAACCACTATGCCACCTGCTGGTCCCAGTGTTTTTAAGAATCTCCATTTAGGAACTTAAATCTCAGAGGAATTACTTAATTTGACTTAAAAACAGTAACAGAAAAATAACAGACTGTAAAATTTGATAGAAGAAAGAAGCTAAAAATATAATAGGTAGAATATAAGGTATATAAACTATATATAAAGTTGTAAATAGGACTGGCAGGTGGCGTGGAGATAAAGAGCACTGGACTCCCATATGTCTGACTGTGATTCAAGTACTGGACCTGGAAACTTGGTTTCTCACTCTCTCTCTCTCTCATTCTGTCCCTCTCTGATTAAATTAAAATAAATACGTAAACAAATAAAGTTAAATAAAAAGTAATTCTTTAAAAAATAAATTAAAGCTGTAAATAAAGAAAGGTAGGTTGGGTTTTTGAAGAAAAATCATTTTGCTATATAGTTTCTATCAAGATCCTTGGTTGCAAAATAGAGTTGAAGACTTGATAAATTTTTCAGACTACATTTGTCTTAACATTGAATGAAATAATTTTGAAAATTATGTAATTGAGTTGTAAATTATATAAATGTAATTGAATTTTTTGACATTTTATTTAAAAATTGCAACTAAAGCAATGTTGTACCTTCTCGTTAACCTTAATGTAATTTTTTTCTGATGTTACTTCTATGGAAAAAGAGTTCTGAAATCTTTTTCTTATTTTTATTTTTCTCCTTACAGAAATGGCAGGATATCATTAAGGAAGTCAAGTTTCTACAAAGAATAAAACATCCCAACAGTATAGAATACAAAGGCTGCTATTTACGTGAACACACGGCATGGGTTGGTATCTGCTCTCTTCATGTTGACGTTTTAGCTAGTTTTGGTTTAGACTGAATTAATGTGGAATGTCGCAAATTAATTGTATAAAGACATGTAAAAACATTTCAAGTGTTAGCTCATACTGAGATAGGAATAGCAGTGTATTCTAGAACACATAGACAATAAGAGATAGTAAAACATTTGCAGATATACTGTAGATTTTCCAGAATTCCTCTGACTTTCATGTGAGTGGTAAAAATGTCATTTAACAATTTTAATAGTACCATTCAAGGGACCAGCAGATGGTGTAGTGGCTACACCGCTGGACTCCCACATGGCCGACCACAGTTCCAGTCCTGGATCCAGTGACTTGAAAATCACTCCAGGCGTGTATTTTTGTGTGCCAGCCACCACCACCCCCCGCCCCAGGAGGGGTGATTTCTCACTTTCTCTCTCACTGTGTCTGTATGTCTCTCTCTCTCTGGCAAACATATGCATCTTAAGGCACAAGCCTCTAAAAACAAGAAAACTACCATTCAGACATTATGAAAATAATCCTGTTACTTGAGGATAAAAGTTAACATGTCTCTTTGATATAAATATATTATAATCCATTTAACCAGAAAGATCTTCATGAAGTATGAATGAATCCTGGTGAAATTTGACCTACTCATGACTCTTGGACTAAAAGGCAGAGAATTGAGACACTTAATAGCACTTAACATGTTGTTACCAGAAATGACTCCTTATTTTGAACAATTAATAAGTCACAGTTAATTATCATTTTAATGTAACAAGAAGATTTCTATTTGTAATTTTTAGTGCTTTTTTTTTTTTTTTTTCCAGAGAGGTTTTTGCTACAGGGCACGTGTGCTCGCCAGAAAGAGAGAGACAGAGACACAGAAAGCAAGAAACCATCCTCCCCAGGGTGGATGGGCCATGCTGCAATTCCTTCTCCTCCATTCTCCTCTTGGGATCTTGGGCACACACACACACGTGCCCGGCATGAGTTTAAGCCACCAGGTCCAGGACTCAAACTGCAGTCAACTACATGGGAGCCCAGCTATATAGCCATTACGCTGCTGGTCCCTGCATTTTTATCTAGTTTGATTTTGGTAGTGGTGGTGACTCCTAAAGGACCTACTTCACAAGGTTGTTGTGAAAATTAAAGTAGTTAATATGTATCAAATGCCTGGCAATAGAAGGTGCCCTGTTTGCTTTTTATAAAAACCACTAATGTGGGAACCAGCAGTTAGCGTAATGGCTATGTTGGTGGACTCCCATGTAGTCGACCGAGGTTCGTGTCTCGGACCTGGTGGCTTAAAACTCACACCGGGCGCGTGTGCGTGCATGCCCAGGATCCCTAGAGGAGAATGGAGGAGAAGGGATTGCGGCGTGACCATCCCCCCTGGGGGGTGATTGCTCACTTTCTGTCTCTCTCTCTCTCTCTCTGTCTGGCGAACGCACGTGCCCTATAGTGGAAAACCTCTCCCCCCCAAAAACCAAAAAAAAAACAAACAAACAAAAAAACCACTAATGTAATCTAATCTTTGTGCATATAGTTTCAGAGAATGAAGTTTTAAAGCATCAGATTAAAAAACATGAAACTTTGAGGAACTAACTGATCCAAACCATAACAGCAATTATGTACAACATACACAAAGTATTGAAGTGATTTTATGTTGGCATTCTTAAAATATTAATGTAAAACTGGCATGATAGCCTAGCAATTAAGTGCTCTCTAGAGGAAACCAATTCCCATGTGGACAGCCAGAGTTTGGGTCCCACCCAGAGGCTTGAAAAATATCTGGGGCACATGCATGCTCAAGATCTTGATGGGATAGAAAATTAGAGGAAAAAATATTACAGCCATGACTAGGCCCTGATGGGGGAAGTTTTCTTTCTCTTTCTCTGTCTCTCTGTTTCTGTCTCTGGTATGTTTCAGAGCCAGTATTACATTAAACAGATTAACTTTATATGCATTTAACAAATTGCCAGATATATATGGAATTGTCAGGAAAGTCATGATGCATTCTTTGCATAGAAAAACACGTCGTCACTTTTCCAATGACCTAATAATTTTATTTTTAAAAGCAAATGATGACTAAACTTTGTTTTACCTCAAATTTACTTGATCTCCTAGGTAAACTTATTTGATCTCAAATAGAATTTTTATAGTAATATATTTTAATACCTTTATAATTTTTCTTCCCATGTAGCTTGTAATGGAATATTGTTTGGGATCCGCTTCAGATTTACTAGAAGGTAGGTTTCTTGATTATTAAAAAAAAAAAAGTATCAACTGAATAAAATGATAATTCAATTAGAAATTATTTAAGTAATGTTAAAACTAAACAAGGTAAACTTCCTAAAAAGAGTAGAAACTTAGCCTTTTCTAAATCCTCAGCATAATATGTGCTATCTTCATTGAATACTACATAGTAACATAAAATAAGCTAGCTTTCTCATTGTGACTTTACAGGCTTTTTTGTGTGTGTGTGTGTATGTGTCATTCTACTTGATCTGCTCCTTCTGTTCAAAACAAAAATAGAAGATAAAGAGAAAAGTTCTTTATTATTACTTTTATTTTTATAATAACCAAATAGTTGATACTATCATTAGCATAAGAGGAAAGCTGGCTATGAATTATAACTTTAACAGCCAGCACAACTGTGTACTAGTTTTAATGTTCAGTAGCTATATTTTATCATCTTGGATAATAATCTCTTCTCACTCTCAGTTTTTTTTAAATTACTGACTAAATTACATTAGATACAATGTTTGTTTATTCTTTTCAGTAGAAATGTTCTGTGTAATAATTATTTTCAAATAAATTCTTATTTTAAGTTCACAAAAAGCCATTACAAGAGGTGGAAATAGCAGCAATTACACATGGTGCTCTCCAGGGATTAGCCTACTTACACTCTCATACCATGATCCATAGGTAAGTGCTTCGAAAATAGCATGTATTGCCAAGTAAATGGCTTGTTACATTTATCAGTCCTAAGATTGATTAACCCTGAAATTTTTTTTGGTTATAGTCAAGTAGAATAATATAAACTTACATTTTTTTTAGGTTGTCCATGTCTAAAAAAGAACATAGTTGTACACTTGATTTCTCTATTTATGATCATTTTATCTTTGCCTCCATTTCTACTGTGCCTTAAATGTTTATTTGTAGAATTATTTAATTCGTGAACTGGAAAGGGTATTGGGGGAGTCATAGTTTTTTGTTTTTCATTTTACAGATGAAGAAACTAATGGCCTCATTTGTGACTAATTTCCCAAAGTTTGCTGAACAAAATAGATTAGAGCTAGAAGTAAAACTTGGTTATTTAGTCTTCCTTACCAAATTTGTTCAATTGATTTCACTACAGGATAAATAAAAGCTACCTATAGGACCAGCAGTTGGCATAATGGCTATGCTACTGGATTCTCATGTAGCAGACCACGGTTCAAGTCCTGGACCCAGTGGTTTAAACTCACACCGGGCGCATGTATGTGCGTGCCCAAGATCCTGAGGGGAGAATGAAGGAGAAGGGATTGTGGCATGTCCATCCCCCCTTGGGGGTGATTTCTTGCTTTCTGTCTCTTTGTCTCTCTCTTTCTTTCTGGTGAGCGCAAGCGCCCTATAGCAAAAACCTCTCCCAAAAGAAAAAGCTACCTAAACACTGTTCTTGAGCATTAACCCTTTGTAATAGTTGAGAATAGATAGTAACTTTGAGGTTAAACCATTTTATAATGCCTTTTAACATTGACTTTTGGCTGTTTTAGAAGGAAACTAGCATTATATCTAATCCAGACAATACCTATTAAGTACATGGTCTTTGTGAGATAGTTAGTTATTATTTTTTTATAGATAAAAAGATAGTAAGGCCTGAGAGAAACCTATATGCTAGTAAATAAGTGAGTAGCAGAGTTGGAATTAGAACCTAGGATTTTCTCAACTTCAAAGTACTTCTTTTTTTTTGTAGGCTTTTTTTTTTGTAGGACTGTTTTTATTTATCATTATCATTTTTTTCAATGTAACTAGAAAGAAAGTGAGAAAGCAAACTGCCAGGTCCAGGACTCGAACCATGGTTTGCCATGTGGGAATCTAGCACCTTAACCACCACACCAATCTGCCAGCACCAAAGTACCTCTGCATTTTAAAAAACATGTGGAAAAAAAATAGATTCAGTTAGTACTGTATATGCACTACAGTACTATCATAATGATTGACAAATGCTTCAAAATTTAGTTTTTATTTTTTAACTTTCAAAGATTATATGCATGCTGTAATGTCCATTACATATACAGTCCCATAATATAGATGTTCATAATTTTCTCAGTTTGAATGTGTAGTATGTTTGTTGTTTCAGAAAACAGTAAGTATTAAAGTTAATTGAGGGGACCAGTAAGTGGCGTGGTGATTGGATTGTTGGACTCCCACGTGGCTGACCATGGTTCGAGTGTAGGACCTGGCAGCTTGCTTTCTCATGCTCACGCTCGCTCTCTCTCTTTTTTTTCTGGTGAGCATGTGTGCCCTATAGCAAATTCAACAAAATAATAATAATAGGGACCAACAGGGGCATGATGGTTGAGGCACTGGACTCCCCACATGGTTGATCACAGTTAAAGTCCTGGAGCTGGTGACTTGCTTTCTCACACACTCCCCTCCAGTCAAATAAAAAAATAAATAAATTATTTATTAAAAAATATTTATTTGGGACCAGCGGTTGGCGTAATGACTATGTCGCTGGACTCCCACATAGTAAACCGTGGTTCGAGTCTCGGACCCGGCAGTTTAAACTCATGCCGGGCGCATGTGCGTGCATTCCCAAGTTCCTGAGAGGAGAAGGGATTGCGGCGTGGCCATCCCCCCTGGGGGGTGATTTCTCGCTTTCTGTCTCTCTGTGTCTCTCTGTCTTTCTGGTGAGCGCACACGCCCTATAGCGAAAAACCTCTCCAAAAAAAGAAAAAGAAAAAACATTTATTTAATAATAAGTTAAATTAAATAAGTCTTTTAAAAATAATAAATACAATTAGATAAATAATTATTAAAATCAAGGGACTGGCAGGTGTTAAGGTGGTTAAGGGCACAGGACTCCAACATGGCCAACTGCAGTTTGAGTCCTGGGCCTGGCAATGGCTTTCTCACTTTCTCTTTCTCATTCTGTCTCTCGCTCTCTCACTTTGTCCCTCTCTGGTCAAATAAAAAGGAATAAATAAAATTAAATAAAAATAATTCTTTTAAAAAGTAAATTGGAATTTACTAAAACTATATTATCCATATGTTTCTATTTTTATTTAATACTAATTAGAACTATGCTAATGTTTAGAATGAGTAAGACTTTTTTAATGTTTTTAAAATTTATTTGTTTAATTTTATTTGTTATTACTACTATATTTTTAAAATGTGTGGCCATGTATACTCACTAGAGAGAAAGAGAAGGAGAGAGGGAAAGTGAGAAAAGGAAGGTCTAGGACTTGAACCTTCATCAGCCATGTGGGAGGTCCAGTGCCTTAACCGCCATGCCATCTGCTGACCCTGAAAAAACACCACATTTGGAGATGAGAACTTTTTTTGTTTCTTTTTTAAATGGTAAGTTACTCAGAAGTTATATACATCATAAAGATATTATTAGCTAATTTATTGTTATCTTTTAATGTTTAATTTTTTAACGTTTATGCCATAGGGTGCATTTGCTAACCAGAAAGAGATAGTGAGGGGGAAAGTGAGAAATCACCCTCAAAGGGATGTCCACACCGTAATCCCTTGTCCATCAATCTCCTCTTGGGATGTTGGGCATGCATGCACATATGCCTGGTGTGGTTTTCGTGTCGTGAGGTCCAGAATTTAAACCCCAGTTGACCATGTGAGGGTCCAGTGCCTTAACCATTATAACACGTGCTGGCCCCAGTTAGTTTATTTTTAATACCACTATTTGTACCAATATACACAAAGTCAGATGTTTTAAAATATTGGGTTATCAGAAAAGTCATTTATACAGAAAAGTCAAATGTACATGTATTTTTCTATGTAAAAATGCATCATGACTTTTCCGACTACCCAATATATTCAATTAAATGTTTTTCTGTCTTATGTTTTTTATGATCATTGTCTTCTGTTTTAGAAAATTTTTATATATTCATTTGAATTTTGTATTTCTTGTTTTCTCATTTGAATCATAAAGCTCATTTTCTCAATGACAAGATTATCCTTGCACTGAATTATTTTTATTTCTCCTTCTGTATCTTATAAATTCTTGTTTGATTGTCTTCATTTTAAACACAATTCAATATAGAGAAGATAATATTTTGTGTTGGCTGGCTCTGTGGTCTGGGGGTTGAGACAGCTGGATTTTATATGTTGAGTGGTGAGTCCCAGAAACAGTGGCTTAACAAACAAGTCAAACACACGTGCATACATGTTCAAAGTCTCAAAGGAAGGGAGAGATGGAGGAAAAGATATTGCAGTTTGACCAATCCCCATGGTGGGTGCTTTCTCCTCTCCTTATTTCTCTGATGAGCATAGGCACCCATTGGCAAATACATACATACATAAATACGTACATATGTATTAATTAATTCCTTTTTTCTTAAACCCAGAGATATCAAAGCAGGAAATATCCTTCTGACAGAACCAGGCCAAGTGAAACTTGCTGACTTTGGATCTGCTTCCATGGCATCTCCTGCCAATTCTTTTGTGGGAACACCATATTGGTAAGAATAGTCCTATCTATTATAGACTCTCATAATTAAAATAAGCAATGTATTATTTTACTTTTATCAGATACATTCTCTTTCTCTTAGAAATATAATGTTATTTTGGATATTTTGACCTTAAGCATTATGCATTTTAATTATATATTTGGAATGCAAGAGAGGAGAAGAGATTGTAGCATAACCATCCCCCTGGGTGGTGACTTCTCACTTTCCCTCTCCCTTGTCTGTCTTCAGTGAGCATACATGTCCTATGGCAAAAAACCCTAAAAGAAAGAAATTATGTATTTGGAGTATTCTTTCATCTCCTTGTTTTTTGTTTTGTTCCCATCATGTTTGCTATTACTATCTGTATCATACATTGGATATGTGATTGAAAAAATTAAATAAAACTGAAATTGCAGAGGAGATAGACATGCCAACTGGTAATGTCTCTTTTCTTTAGATTTATACTTACTGTGCATCACTGATCTTTAGACTAAGAGAATTTAAAGCCTGGTAGCTGATTTGGAGTTTTTTCTATTTTAATCTTTTATTATGGAAAATTTAAACCTACATAAAAAGTAGACCAAGAAAATGATGATTGGCATTACGTACTAGTCTCTTGACCCAATATTATCACATGGCTTATCCTGTCATTTCTTTTTTTAGAGGTTTTTTGCCTTAGGGCACATGCAGTCGCTGGGCTGTGGAGGGGGAGACAGATACATTGAGAGGAAAAGTACGAAATCACCACTGGGGGTATGGCCACATTGCAAGCCCTTTTCCTCCCCACTCCTCCTGGGATCTTGGGCACACATGCATAAACGCCCAGTGTGAGTTTCAAAACCACTGGGTCCAGGACACAAACCAAGGTCGGCCATGTGAGAGTCCAACAACAGAACTACTACGCCATCCGCTGGCCCCCTGGCTAGTCCTGTTTTACGTATTCTGTTTTTCTTACGCCCACCCCAGTTTTTTTAATCTGTCAGCAAGTTTAAAAATGATAATTTTTCAGATCTTTAATTTATGTATATTCTTTTTATATGTATGTTGAAAGCAATGCCTTTGGTTCGCAGTATCATTTTTCTCACTTACCTTTCCAATCTCCTTCTCTCACATTGTAAGAGAAAGGCTTCTCATCCATTTTAAATATTATAATGATGCATTGGTTTGGAAGTAAAAGCCTCAGAGGCACTCTTGGCAGGCATTTTGAGAATGCATAGTGTCTATGAGAAATACTGAAGGAGTTAGGGCACAAACTTATGCCAAAGCCCTGTCCCTTGTCACTTTCCTTCCTTTCAATCCTCTTTTTTTTTTTCTTCTCCTATTACCGTCTTTCTTTCTGTTGTCATGGGCACACATTAACATATTTAACACATTTATTTTAATTTAAAAAGGAAACCAGGCAATTTCTGACAAAAAGTGATTCTTATTTTTCATGATATAATCATAAAGACTAGCTTGGTCAATTAGGTTATGTGATTATGTTTTTAATAAATTGAGTGAACTTGGGAACCAGCAGTTAGCGTAATGGCTATGTCGCTGGACTCCCACGTAGTCAACCGTGGTTCGCGTCCCGGACCTGGTGGCTTAAAACTGATGCCGGGCGCGTGTGCATGCGTGCCCAAGATCCCGAGAGGAGAATGGAGGAGAAGGGATTGTGGTGTGACCATCCCCCCGGGGGGTGATTTCTTGCTTTCTGTCTCTATGTCTCTCTCTGTCTGTCTGGCGAGCACACATGCCCTATAGCAAAAACCTCTCCCCCCCAAAAAAAAAAAAAATTGAGTGAACTTGATTTTTTAATTCCAAGGTTGGTTGTTTTTTTTTTTTTTTTTTTTTCCCCTGTTTGTTTGTTTGATGTTTTGATAGGCTCAAAGCAAAGGACTGGACTTTTTTTTTTTTTTCCCCTTTTTTTTTTTTTTCCCCTTTTTTTTTTTTTTGAGAGGTTCTTGCTATAGGGCGCATGTGCTCACCGGAAAGAAGACAGAAAGAGACAAAATACATACACAATTACAGAATCTATATGTGCTGTACATTATATTATTTGCAGCTATTCCATTCATAAAATATAAATACTAACCTCAAAATGTACAAGAGGGTACAGTTGTTTTAAATTCTATGAGGTAAATGAATAAAAGAAAATTGAAGACCAGTTCTCTAAATGGGCAGCCATTTCTTGTGTAGAACTCCAGTCCTAGATAGAAGACGTAACTTCTTCCAGAAGAAGAGGTTCTCTGAGCCAATAATACTTCTTAGTTATACCCCTCTTAGAAATCGGTGATGAATATTAGATATTAAAAAGGCATTGGGGACCAGCCTGTGGTGGTGGCTGGCTCTCACATGACCAGCTCCACAATTTTAGTCCTGGATATAATGGCTTGAAAAACATGCTGGGCACTTATGTGTGCCCAAAATCCCCAAAGGAGGGAGAAATGGAGGAAAAGAGATTGCGGTGTTAATATGGGACTGCTTTCCTCTCTTCCCCTTTCTATCTCTGCCTGTCACTGGCGAGTAAACATGCCCTCTGGCAAACTGAAAAGAAGAAAAAGGCTTGGGAAGTTCTGCAGTAAAAACACAAAAATTACTTTTTTTTCTTGTAATTGTTTTCTTTTTGAGAGAGATTTTTTGCTATAGGATATGTGAGCTTTCCAGAGAGACGGGAGAGACAGAAAGCTAGAAGTCACCCCCGACGGGGGATGGCCATGCCACAGTCCCTTCTCCTCCATTTCCCTCTTGGGATCTTGGGCATGTACATGCTGGGCATGAGATTTAAGCCGCCAGGTCTGGGGCTCTAACTGTGGTCGACTACATGGGGATCCAGCTACGTAACCATTACACCATCCCAATTGAGTGATTCTTAAGCTTTATGAAAAATTACTGTTCAGGGGGGCTGGCAGGTGGCATGGTGGTTAAGGGCGCTCCACTCCCACATGGCCGACTGTGGTTCAAGTCCTGGACCTGGCAGCTTACTTCCTTTCTTTCTTTCTCTCTCTCATTCACTCTCACTCTGTCCCTCTTGGCTCAAATTAAAATAAATGGATAAATAAATAAAGTTAAATAAAATAATTCTTTGGGACCAGCAGTTGGCATAATGGCTATGTCGCTGGCCTCTCATATAGTTGACCACAGTTCGAGTTCTAGACCTGGTGGATATTCACTCTACCCACAGAGTTTCATGCCTAAAGTCAACATGAGTTCACAGATATGTATATATCAGTTGAACTTACTATTGAAAGTATTTAGACTAATTAAAATATTTTGGGAATTAATGAAATGTGGAAAAGAATAAAAGAATGGAAGGCAACTACAGATACCAGAGATAGTGTAGGAGGAGGGTGAGATATGGCAGAAGTTGAGAAATGGGGAAAAATATATATACAAAAAACAAGAAATGTAAAATTATTTGTTGACGATAACAAGTATGATTAAGCCACTTAACAGTGTATTCTGGATGGGAAATCCCATTTTGTATGCTGCAGTGATTTTCAGTGAAAGAATGCAAAATTAATTAATTAAAAAAATTATTGGAACCAGCAGATGGCGTAATGGCTATGTCGCTGGACTCCCATGTAGTTGACTGTGGTTCGAGTCCTAGACCCGGTGGGCTTAAACGCACGCAGGGCACGTGTACATGCATGCCCAAGATCCCGAGAGGAGAATGGAGGAGAAGGAATTACAGTGTGGCCATCCCCCCTGGGTTGTGATTTCTTGCTTTCTGTCTCTCTGTCTCTCTGGTGAGCACACGTGCCCTATAACAAAAACTTCTCCAAAAAAAATTAGTAATTTCTCAAGCTTCCAACATTTTAGAGAACATTTGCAAAAAATAAAACCAGTTTTGACTATAGCAGTTTTACTTTATTTACATATTTGTTAATTTGTGTATAACGTATTTGGAACTCAAGAATATATATATATATATATATATACACACACACACACACATATATGTATATCTGTGTCTTTGCACACACACACCACATTGAGAATGTCTGGTGACAATCTTAGTGAAGTAGTCAGCAACTATATTTTGTGTCTGTCTTTGCTTACAACCAAATACAAATGAATTATAAAATTTTATCAAGTATTTAGAATCTAATCAAAGATACAAATTAGTGTTTTATAGCTCAGACACTCATAAAATTGATAATTATGTGAATTTTTTTTTGAGTTGTGAGCTACTCTAGCTGCTTTTTATGATGCAATACCATTTTTATTTGAAAGACACACAGAAACTGGTTATTCAGTCTTGGTTATTGTGATAATTAAGTGAAAAAAGCTTGTTACTTCAAGGAAAATAAGGTAAGCAAAACTTAGTTGTAATGGTATCCTGAGGCAAAATATCTGAGGATCACTGGCATAAAGAACTTGCAATATTAAAATCTGCAAACTTGGACCCAGTAGTAGTGGTGTATGCCACTAAGATGCTATGCTCAAAAAAAAAAAAAAAAAAAAAGATTCTATACTCTTGAGACCAGCAGATGGTGTAATGGCTATGTCGCTGGACTCCTATGTAGTCAACCACAGTTCGTGTCCCGGACCCAGTGACTTAAACTCACACCAGCCGTATGTGCATGTGTGCCCAAGATCCCAAGAGGAGAATGGAGGAAAAGGGATTGTGATGTGGTCATCCCCCCTGGGGGGGAGGGGGGCAATATCTTACTTTCTGTCTCCTTGTCTTTCTCTGTCTTTCTGGTGAGTGCACATGCCCTACAGCAAAAACCCCCCCCCCCCCAAAAAAAAAAATAAAGATGCTATTCTGGGGTCAGAAAAGGAAAGTAGGGGAAGCCCCTAGAGAAAAAAATTGGGGCCGTGCGGCCATTTCTCCCGTCTTCAGACTCTGCGCTCTCGCAGGGCTTCCAGCAGCTGGGACAGACCATCTGGAGGTCCATGCCCTCTGTTGTCCGCAGGAGCCACTATGAGGAGGGCCCGGGAAAGAATCTGCTATTTACAGTGGAAAACAAGTGGCGGTTACTCGTTATGATGACTTTATACTTTGGATCTGGATTTGCTGCCACTTTCTTTATAGTAAGACACCAACTACTTAAGAAATAAGGATGTTTTAATTCATCCATTTAATAGATATGAAGAACATTTTAAGAGGCACAGTCACAATCTCTGGAAAATGGATCAAACTCTTAAAATCATAGTGTACTGAATATGTTTGTAAATAAACTTAAGACCTGAATGCATAATACCTCTTTTCTGAAATAAGACCTGAATGCAAAAAAAAAAAAAAGAAAGAAAGAAAGAAAAGATGCTATGCTCTCTAGTCTGGGACCACATTAGAGGCTGAGATTCAATTTCCAGTCTGATCTCAAGGCTGGGAATAGTGGTGTGTGTGTGTAAGGAGACAGGGAGATTGTATGCTGAAGACTGCCTGGATAACAAAGGAGGAGCTTGTCTGAAAAAGAGTTGGGTGTGGTCCTATGTACCTGTAGTCCTAACTGATAGACAAAGGCAGGAAGATTATGACAGTGAGATTGTGCCTTTAAAAAAAAAAAATAAATAATATATTACCTTGAACAGATATAGAATACAACCCTGTTCTAGGAGGTGTCCATCTTTTGGGATGCTATTACATGATTGTGACAGATGATGATGATGAATCTCACATTGCACTATTTCTCGTAAAAATTCTCTTTTTTTTTTTTTTGGAAAGGTTTTTGCAATAGGGCACATGCGCTTGCCAGACAGACAGAGAGAGACAGAGAGAGACAGAGAGACAGAAGGCGAGAAGTCACCCTGGCCACACCACAATCCCTTCTCCGTTCTCCTCTCGGGATCTTGGGCATGCCTGCACATGCACCCGGTGTAAGTTTTAAACCACTGGGTCCAGGACGTGAACCGCGGTCGACTACTGGGAGTCCAGCAACATAGCCATTATGCTAACTGTTGGTCCTTCGTAAAAATTCTTAGGTCCACGTTATTGACTGGAATTCAAACCAGTGCTCTCCATATAGATGGTCACGACATTCTCAAAGAATATTATACTTTTTTTTTTTTTTTTTTTTCAAAGAATAGTATACATTTTTAAAAATTTTAATTTATGTGAACATTTTATGTTTTAGGATGGCCCCAGAAGTAATTTTAGCCATGGATGAAGGACAGTATGATGGCAAAGTAGATGTATGGTCTCTTGGAATAACATGTATTGAACTAGGTAAGCATTGTTCTTCATAACTGGATTAAGTTTTGATTGATGTTTTAACCTCAATTTCTATGCCAAATTGCAGATGCTTCTTCACTAAAATGTGGTCACATCTTAATAAACCCATCATAATTTGAAAATATTAAAAGTCGAGAAAGCATATAATACATCATCTACCAGATGTCACAGTTTAACCTAGTCTGCCTTACAGTTTCTCAGAACTAGCTTCTAGTTGGGCAAAGTCATCTAACCCAAAGCCTAATTTATTACAGAGTATTGAGTACCTGAGATAATTATGGAAACTATACTGAAAACGAAAAATAGAATGGTTGTATGAGTACTAAAAGTACAGTTTCTACTGAAGTATTCTTTGCACCATCGTAACGTCAAAAAATTCTATGTTGAACCGTGTTAACTTGGGGACGGTCTGTATTTTTTTTTAAAGACTTATTTATTAATTTTATTTATTCATTTTTAAATTTTAATTCGACCAGAGAGAGATACACAGAGAGACAGAGAGAGCAAAAGGGAAAGTGAGAAAGCAAGCCACCATTTAAAGAAGATCTCTAAAGCATTCATGAATTACTTACATTTACCTAGGTGTATTATTACTTTAAATTAGGTATGAAAATTATATGCCAGGGAATATAACATATTGTTACAGTTTGTGGGTTTTATTTGTTTGTTTGTTTTAAAGATAATAAGGCAGACTTTATTCAAGGAAAGCCAGGTGATAGGCATAGGGATCATGGCCACAGGATTTTATAGTGGAGGTGACAATTGGACTCAACTCCCTGTAGCATTTTGATTTTTATGCATGTTTTATTCCGTTCCTCATAAGCAGAACTATGCTAAAAACAGTGGACCATCTTAAACTTGTTAACATCCCCACAATAAGTAAACCAGGTGGGTAAGTAAACTCACACTGTAATTGAAGATGATGACATCTTCTTGCCCTGGATTCCCTAAGTTTTCTCCAACCAGCCTAAAAAGTCTTTTCTTTTTTCCTTCTAAGAATATTCCACCAAAATTTATTTTCTCTCTTTTCCTTTTTTTTCTTTTTTCTTTTTCTTTTTTTAATAGTAACTAGATTGTGTGTGTGCTTGCCAGAGAGAGTGCTTGCCCGAGAGAGAGAAAGTAAACCCCTGTGAGACATAATCACACTGCTATCTCTCACTCCATTTCCCCATCTTGTTAGCATTTTGAACACACAGGTATACTTGCCTGGCACCTTTCTTGGTGCCAAAGCCAGGACTTAAACCACCATGATTAGTCATATGAGAGCTGACTCTCAATACATTGCACTTGGTTATTGTGCTATGGGGCTGGCCCCAAATTTTATTTCAAACTAGGAAATATTGGGAGTATTTAATGGAACCTTCTAAAAGATTTGACCAAGGGTTGAAAATAACACATTAAAAGTAAATTGGGGGGGGGGGGGGAAA